TGCGTCTGTCTGCGTCTGTCTGCGTCTGTTTCTGTCTGTGTCTGTCTGTGTCTGTCTGTGTCTGTCTGTGTCTGTCTGTGTCTGTCTGTGTCTGTCTGTGTCTGTCTGTGTCTGTCTGTGTCTGTCTGTGTCGGTCCGTGTCGGTCTGTGTCGGTCTGTGTCGGTCTGTGTCTGTCTGTGTCTGTCTGTGTCTGTCTGTGTCTGTCTGTGTCTGTCTGCGTCTGTCTTTGTCTGTGTCTGTCTGTGTCTGTCTGTGTCTGTCTGTGTCTGTCTGCGTCTGTATCTGTCTGTCTGTGTCTGTATCTGTCTCTCTCTGTCTGTCTCTGTCTGTCTGTGTCTGTCTGTGTCTGTCTGTGTCTGTCGGTGTCTGTCGGTGTCTGTCGGTGTCTGTCGGTGTCTGTCTGTGTCTGTCTCTGTGTCTGTCTGTGTCTGTCTATGTCTGTCTGTGTCTGTCTATGTCTGTCTGTGTCTATGTCTGTCTCTGTCTGTCTCTGTCTGTCTCTGTCTGTCTCTGTCTGTCTCTCTGTCTCTATCTCTCTGTCTGCCTGCCTGCCTGCCTGCCTGCCTGCCTGCCCGCCTGCCTGCCTGCCTGTCTGTCTGTGTGTGTCTGTGTGCATGTCTCAGTGAATGTGTCCGCGAACTTGCGCTGGGCTTGTGACAAGAGGCGTTGCAGTCGTCAAAGTCCGTCTGGCAAGCTACATCAACCCGATCATCTTCGTCACCGCATGCCTGCGACGAACTTCGAAATCCTGTGGACCTTGCCAGGCAGTGCTTGGTCGCTGATTGATGAATGCGCAGCGACGACCAGTTCGTTGGCACTACATGCCAGTGCCATGTCAAGGCAAGTCGCTCAGACTCATCGTCACGGATGAGATGCTTCCCCTCGACGTGTCTTGGCAGCTCAAGCGGACGCGAGGGCCCTCTTGGGGTCTCTTGATCGTCTGAAGCCGTGAGGTTCACCTCGCCACGAACCTCGCCAAAAATCTGTATACATCGCAGTCATTCAAGCAATCAGCAGTCAGGCTCGAAGAACTCACAAGCCGTTGAGTACTTGGTATACATGGTAGAGCGCCGGGAAGGACATCAAAATAGAGTTAGCTGCCGGCCCCGAAGAAACGTCAAGATTTCTGTTTAGCAAGGACACGCCCGCGGCCCACTAAAAATCGAGATATGGTGTGTTGAAGCAAGAGACTCAACGAGCGAAGCCTTTGAGGTACCTCAATCCGTCTAGGCTCCAAGCTGTCCCATCGTCACCAAGCTGGTGCTCTTCGTCGGAAGCTTCCTGCTTGGCCAAGCAAACATGCAGTCTTCTGATGCACCGCGAGGGAAACTGCAGCCTTATCTTGCAAGCCAAACCACAGCTGGACGGCTCAACTCAGCTCGACTGGCCGCAAAGCTTGTTTGGGATTTCGGAGAAGTATGACCCTCAGACCCTCAGAACCTGCCTCCGATATCAAACTCCATTCGTCATCGCACTGCTCGGGCGGCACTTCAGGCCTGAGGAAGTGTGTCAACAAGCCCCTGAACAAGGTGCAGTCCAGGCACCCCACACACTGATCAGCCGCCGCAAGACCGCAGCAGTAGATGGAGGCGCGCCCTCCGCTGCTACGGGATCCTGCCATCATGCACGTCAGGAATGAGGATGTGACTGTCGATGCACTGACTTCCTTTTGCGTCTACTGAACCCTAAACCAATAAACTCTAAACCCTACATCCTAAAACCTGAACCTCAAACCTCTAAACCCTGAACTGTAAATCCTAAACGACTACCAGCTTTGATCTCAAAGCCGGGGTGCTTTGATAGGCGTGGGGCATTCTAGCAAGTAGGCTTGAACTATCTGAGGTATCACATATAACATCACATATACACGAGGGAACAGCAGAATGTATAAGATGCATCATATAGCATATGTATTATGTGATGTCTTGTGTCTATCTCTCTGTTTTTCCATCTATATCTATATCTATATCTGTATCTATATATATATATATACAGATTGCATATTGTACATTACATAAAGTTGAATTGCAATACCACGAAAAATTGAAAACAATACAGAACATATAACATGTAGTATAAAATGTGTGATGCATAGTATATAATATATAGCACATGCCATATACTACATAACATATGATGTATGATGAACCATATATAATACATAGCCTATAACATATAACATAATATAGCTTTACATGTGTATATATATATAGAGAGAGAGAGATTGCATGATACATATATGTGCACATACATACATACATACATACATACATACATACATACATACATATAGTATATTTAAGGTAATATGATACAGTGTGATATCATATACCATGAAAATACAAATATACATGTTCATATTCTCAAACTTATAAACAACTATGCATACATGCATACCCACATACATACATACGTCCGTATGTACGTATGTACGTACAAGCAGACAGACGGACAGACGCACGGACGGACGCACGGACGGACGCACGGACGGACAGATGTGCAGACGGGAAGACGGGCAGACGGACAGACTGACAGACAGACAGACAGAGCTACAGTACATACACATATACATAAAACATATACATAAAACATGTACATATACATGTACATATACGGTCATATACATATACATGTACACAAACACAGTCATACACGTTTACATCTGTGTGTAGTATACATGTTGCTTCTTTGTACTTCTACCGTCCTTGGCATCACTTGGCCCCAAAGTCCAGCACCTGGGCTTGTGCTACTGCCCAGCATGACATAATAGGCTCGTGGGTCCCTTGCGGCCCTCAGACTTGGGAGTTTGGAGCACCCCTTCTAACAGTTAAACTTTTAGCCTCCTTATTCTAGTTCATGTAGAAACCCAAAGTTAAAGTCCTAAGAGCCAAGCAGAAGAACGCCAAGTGGACTTGAGGGTTCTGGTGTGCATGCCGCTGCCTGTGGTCTCTGCGATACTCATGCAGCACCCGAAATCGAAAGCCTGACCCACGTCCCTATAAGATAATATACTATAATATACTGTACCATAACATACACTAGTATACTCTAATATACCATATACTGAATCTTTGGGCTCTGGCAGCTGCTGTAGGTGGACGATCTCGCCGTGCTTCCTAGGCGTCGAGATCGAGAGGTTTGGGGGCACGGGGCCCCAAACTTCGGCGAGAACTTGTGGATTTGTGAAGTGTCTTTCGGATCTCCGGATAAGCTTCGGCAGACATCTGACTCCGTGCCAGTTCATGGTGCACAGGCTGTCACGGCTTCCGTCAGGTCGAGCAAGCTTTGAAACCTATAGGGTTTAGGGTTTAGGGTTTAGGGTTTCCCGTCTCGGCTCCCGGCTGGTTCAGCTGCTGCGCCAGCTGGTCATGGAGAGTCGCCAGCTGGTCATGGTAAGCCCCCAGCCTAAGACCATAGTTGCGGTGATGGAAAGCAGCTCTCAGCTTCAGCCTACATCTGCTCCTAACATACCGTAAACCCCACTAAGACCATGAGCTCTGAACCCTAAGCCATAGTCCCTAAACCCTAAACCCTAAACCCGAAACCCTAAACCCTAAATCCCAAACACCCTAAGCCCTGAAGCCACAGCGTGGCCACGGAGGTCCTGACTAGGACAAGGCTGAAGGACTCAGGTCGCCCGGTTCCCCAGTAATCCTTCGTCCTTAAGAAGAGGCCCGAAATCAAAAAGCACAACACACGTTGAGGGTTTAGGGTTTAGGGTTTAGGGGTTTAGGGGTTCAGGGCACACTGGGGAGACTGATATCATACAGGCGAGACAGTATCCATCTTGAAGCAAACGGCTGCTTCAAGAACAACTCGCTCTCGACCTCCAGGTGCCATCGAACGCGGGCCATCGCTCGGGTGCCTCGATCTGCCTCTGTTGCAAGTTGGAACCTCTTGCATCGACGCCTACTCCTTGGAATCATGTCTCCATGTTGGCGCAGGTAATTGCAGCGCATCGGACAGTGAAATGAATTGTGCGTGCTCGCTCGGAGCCACAAACTGTGAGAACCAGTCAATCACTCCTGACCTTCGTAGACGACTCCAACAACGCCCGCCCCCTCACTTTTTATGGCACGCGTTGGCTCTTGCTAAGGTATATCGCGGCGAAAACCCTGAACCTTCTTGCAGAATGGATCTGCATCGACATGTCTTGCATCCTACAGCAGCAAATTTGCGCAGCCGATGGGCGATGCGACGAGGTTTTGGTGCAGCAGTCGGCAGGGTTTGTAAAGAGAGCGCCCTTCTTTGCCGCCAGCTTTGGGCGAAAAAGCGCAGACCCTTCGCTCATGACGCGCGGTGGTCAGCCCCCCCCCGTGCTCCACAGCAGGCGTGCAAGACGGCCCTCTTGTCTTCGCAAAGGCTCCAGGGAGTCTGCCTTGCAGTCATCCCAAATGGCCAGCTGAAAATGCTCCAACGCTGTGAGCCTCTGCGCCCTCATCTTCACTCCGAGGTCAAGGATGCACAGCCGGAACTTCAAGGCCACAACGAGGCGACTCAGCCGGGTGCGACACGGCAATATGCCCGTGGCAGAGAGTCACAGTCTAGCTCTGGTACTAGAAGCCGTCGTAGCCCATAGATGCGAGGAAAGTCCGGAGATTTTGCAAAAAACGTGCAAGGGAGTGCTGTAGGCTCTGCTGTAGGCTCTTCAGGTCTTTCTTCTGCTTGGAGCTCAAGGCCAGGAAGATCTGCCGGCCGGCTCCCCAGAGCCCGAAGCCTGCAAGGGAACACAGCTTTCAAAGTGTCCAAAGAGCAGCTTCTTTATGAAAGCCTTAAGAAAGCAGAGCTGGGCGGAAGAGAGCTGTGCTTTGCCAAGGGCGCGCCTATGCAGCTCGCATCCCAGAGATGCCACGGGAGCCAGGACACTCCGGCTCGGCGGGCCTCCGCTTCTCCGCAACGGCAGGGCAAGGGTTCAGAGTTCTCTGATCTCAAGCCTACGGCACCTCCAAAAAGAAGCCCCTACTGTAACTGCCCATCCCGGCCCACAAAACAGGCAGGAGGGCCTCCAGAGCTGCGCGGGGCGCCCGCTGCAGCAACCTCGCAGAACGACATCGTTTCACGAGACAGCGTGTGTTCACAAGCATTGTACGTGGAAACCTGTTGAATGGAGTTGGACCAGAAAGGAACAGGCATGCTAGGCCGCTAGGCTTCGGAAGTCTGAGTTGCGATCCATCCCGGCATCAAACAACACCAACCCGCCCAGACCGTGGACAAGTGGCTCAATGCCCAATGTGGAGCTTAGCAAAACGCCAGCAGCCCAATCCTTGCGCCGGTCTCACAGGCTGGATGTTACTTCAGCCACGTACAGTACGGCCCAAAGCCGAGACAAATGGCAGTAAGCCTGACTAAGACATGCTTCATCCTTGCAATCACGGCCCAAGCTTTGTCCGATGAGGCTCCACCCTCGCAAAACTGAAGCTCCGGTGCGACGTGAGTATCGCGAAGAGGCCCAATTGTTCCACAATGGCTCTCAACTGAAGGCGCGAGCTCCTCAGACAGGGCAGAGCCGGCCGAGCAGAGGCGAAGGGCCTGTTGAGGCCCTGGCAGGGATGCGCCCGAGCGCTCCAGAGGAAGCAACGCCAGGGCCATGTCCTCGTACGCGCACGACGACGCCAAGTCGCGAACCGAGGCCTACTGCGTTGCATAGCATTGCAATCCGTATACACCACACTCGGACTTAAACTCACCTCACTACCGACCTACAAAATTTGGGGCGTCCCATTCCGGGCGTCCCCCAGAAGGCGTCGAAGGAAGGAGAGGCATCGGCTGCGAAGTGACCGCCAGGCCGGATAGATCTGACCGACGGAGAGAAAGCCTCAGCTGAGAAGCGCCGGGGCCGGGCTTGGGCTTGGGTTTGCAATGGCTTTCCATGGGTTTTTTTGCTGAGACTGAGGACATGGCTGCTGTCATCTTCCGCCAGCCACAAGACCGTACAGACGAAGGTGCCCTACCCGCCAAGAAAAACCAACTTCAAGGTGTTCAGACTCAGCGAGCTCAACGTACACAAGAAGCAGCACCTGCCACAAAACTTCCAGAACCACGCCGACGTCGACCGCTCTAAGCACAGCCTGCAAGTGGTACGCACAGCAAGCAGACATGGCTGACAGTTGGCTATTGTTGAAGCTGGCTCGGATGACCAAATTTCAGAGGTCGCGTGCTCAGGCTGTTCTGCCCTGCTTCTGGACATGTCGTGATTCTCAATTCTGTTGCATGTGGGCTGCTGCTGCAGCTCGGCTGACACAATTCAACCTAGGACCAGATGTTGACTTCACGCGATAAATGATAAACTGGTGGCTGCGACTGGCAAGTGATCGAGGTACCAAACGGCAACTAACCCACATTCTTTGCTGGCCGGATGCCCTCTTTTTGACGAATGTGCGACGTCTCAGGCATGTGTTTGGGTTTGCGAATTAACACTGCGGGCTTGGAGTCAAGGTGGCTCATGAAAGGCCATGTCTGGTCTGGCAGCTACGCTCGCAATTTAATACCCCATGGACTCACAATGCATGCCGAGTTTCCTCGAAAGCCAAAGCCCCGATGGTCTGCCAAAGGCCTGGCCACCCCCAACCCATCGCAATCAACAAAAGACAGTTGCAGCACGGCCGTGTCAGCCCCTGTCTGGGTCTGGGCAGTCAGAGACATGAGAACGCAACAGCAAGTGATGGGTAGCCGAGACGCCACGGTGCATGCCCTTGGGACATGCTAGAAGTGAGCTCAGCCGTTCCTCAGCATTCTGCATGTCTACAATCCAAGGCTTGCTGCTTATAGGCCATACTGTGTCATACAATAACGCCAAGCCGATGCTTTGCATGCCAAAGCCTCTGAGGCGACGTCGAGAAGCCTTTCAACGTCCTGCTCCACGGGAGCCAAGAGATCTAAGGGCGAGCAGCTTACATAAGACCCGCGTCCTTCGCATCCGCCACCTCACTGGGTCAGAGGTGCAAGACCCTCGGAACATGAACAACAACGAACTGGCGTCCTCTGACTTGAAGTCGCTTAGCATCCGGCTCTTGCGAAGGGTAGGACCAGCAGAGCCTGCCAGCGACAACAGCAACTTCTTTCCTGCAGTGTGTTCCAAAGGCATATGTGTGTGGAGTGTGGCTTTCTAGGCTTGCCTGACGCAAGGAGCCACCCTTCACACAGAGCCCTGCACCGGCTCCGAGCCAAAACAGAGCTCGGTGAGGCTGCAAGGCACTCAGCAGGCCGTCCATGGAGAGTCTTGGGAGCTACAACGAGCGGGCAAGTACTCATAGTGACTGATCTGCTATCTTGAAGTCAGACCAGCCTTCTCCCTTGAGCCAGAGACACAGCAGCAGAGTCACTGTTAAAGGAATGAACAGTAAGCGTCCCTGCGCACATGATCAGGGGAGACCTTATAAGGGGCGTGGGGAACGTGTATTCCCAAACATGCTGAGCTGAAAGCAGGACGGTCTTGCTCGGAATGTGCGCCAGAATATCGTTTCCTTGAAGCTGCTCCTGATTTCCGCGGCGCACCGGTTCGGGTGGTAAAGGATCACAAATGCTCAGCTGAACTATTCCTCATCCCTCTGACGACTTACGAGTACTACTGATGTTGCCTCCGACTCCCTCGTGGAAGTGTTTGCGCAGGAACTTGGAAAGCAATGACAATCTCCGCGTGACTCATTGAAGGAAGTAGTCCGATCAGACTGCCCTTTACTGCGCCGAAACACAAATCTCCAGGCATCTAGAAACTTTTCTGAAAACACACCGGAGCTCCTCAACAAAGATGGGCGCTGGTTGAATTGTGTTGGGGAGCTGGGCACATCAATGGGTCGTTTGGTATTTCGCTTTTTTGTTGCAGCTCCTGGTAATCCAGATACGTTCGGCGCTGGGGGGTGGAGTTTGCGGATTGGGAGTGTCCGGGCTTGGTAGGATCGATTCTCACCAAGCAGAAACATGACAATAGTCAAGTCGACAGCTTCTTTCGTGCTTGGGGTGAACGTGTTGCCTGATAAACAGAGAAGAAACCTAAAGGAATGGCCCCACTCCTCCAGCTTCTCCATGTACTCCGTCAGCCGGTGGGCTCGCGCCGTAAGCGCTGCCAGCGGCACCTTCCGAAGAGCCCTAAATCGCTTTGGCGAGCAGACCCTCCGTCAGCCGGCAGAAAAATTGTGCAACCCACGGCCTATGCACCTGTGGTGGCTGTCAGGGAAGATGTGAACACGGAAAGCAAAAGCACACCAATGGCAATTGCAGCAACAGTACCGGACCGTCCAATTTGCAGCAAGCCTGTCCCATTTCGGCCATAATCTTGACTCGCTCTTCCACTTGTCCCAGCATTAGGGCCTGGAGCAAGAACAACCACACACACAGAACAACCCGTATGCATCCGCCTGGCACCGGGAGCGATGTCTCAGGGCCGCACATTGTGAAAGCGAGACATAACATCACCGCGCATCTCTGCAATCTTGAGCATCCTGATAGACGAACGCTGCCGTGGCATCAAAGGCTTCACGCAATTGCACAACACGCGCTGACAAAAGTGCATCAGAGCTGCTTCCGTAGCTTCGCAATGTTGCCGGTGATGAGGTACAAGAAGGACAACGCATCAAAATTCTTGGTCTTCTGGTACACCTGCATAAATCACCCGGGTTCTATCACCATCATGTCACGCCTGCTCCCCCGGCGCCATCCTACCAGAACATATTAGACATCTAGCGGTCACTAGCGACGTTCGCGTTGCTGGTCTGGGAGGACCGGCCATCTCGACGATCTGCTGGTTGCCCTGCCGGAGCGCTTCCAGGCCAAGGCGATTCCAGCCTCCAAAACGACATGCGAGACCCTACGACCAGAACTGTTATTGTTCTGGAAATCTCCGAGGATTTGCTTGCACACGCTTCTGGCATGCAGCCCTACACCGTCCGCCACGCCAAGAACGTTGGCAAGACAAAGAATGCAAAAGTATCAATCTGCAACCATGTGAGTAGTGATGAGAGACAGACCTCCGCTCGAAGAACAACAGTCTAAACCCTCATATTGCCTTCGAGCTCCGAAGAATCCCAAGTCCGGAGAAGTCATCTTGCTGGGGCCCATTATAGTAGATTCTTAATAAGGAGCCTCCAACATAGTATAGGTAATTACTTAGGTTTAGGCCCCATCTTCTGCTCTTTTCTGCTCTGTTGGGGCATCGGCAGCTTCGCTCGTCCAGTTCTTGGGCCGCTGTCATGGCCTGCATGAAAACAAGCAGGCAAGCGGCTACAGACACATTCGGAAATGAAAGTCGAAAAGTAGAAGGGTTTAGGGTTGAGGGTTGAAGTACCAATTCCCACTGACATTCAAAACAACTTCGGCAAGCGCGAGAAACACATTTCTGGAACCCTGAACCTTAAAAACCATAAAGCCTGAAGCCTAAGTCGTAAACGTCCTTTCCGGCTTCTGAAACTGAAACGGTTGTCTGAATGCTTTTCCGACTCGGCCTACCTGCTTTTTGGACTTGTTCTTGAATTTCTGTGTTGATTTGCGAAAGAAACCACACTACTTTCACAACCAAGCCCATTCCACTACAAATTTGTAGTTAGATGAATGGATGGATGGATGGATGGATGGATGGATGGATGGATGCATAGATGAATGGTATCGTTGCATAGGGTAGAGTATGATAAGGAAGGGATTAGGACTAGGATCAGGATTCGCGTGCGGGCTCGGACAGATGGATAGATAAATAGATAGACAGACAGATATCCAGGCAGATAGATGGCGAGATAGATACACAGATACACCCAACAGATGGATGTAACTGGGTGACTAGGTACGTTGGCACGCATATGTGCAAGTGCAGCCTGCATTGCTATGTCCACTTGTACGCACATGCACTCATCGTATGAATCCCAGGACCTCAAACCTAAACGGCTCTAGACCCTGAAAACAGTCAACCGCCAAAAACTAAAGCCGTAAACCCTAAGCTGGAAAGGCTTAGAGCGCGAAACTTCAAGCCGCGAGTCTCGAAAGCAGCCTAAACCCATGATGCATCAAACCCTCTAGAATGCTGCATAGCTTGCATCGCAAGTGCTTGAATCGACTTTTGTGCTTGAACCGGGAATGCACTTGAATCGCGCCCAGTGCTCAATGGCACCGTAATCCCGTCTTGGACAGCAGTAGCTTGCATCGCAGGGTCCGCTCGTCCCACAAGAAGGCGAAACTAGCATAGTGTAGTCGCCTCCTCGATGTGACCATACCTGGCATTCACCAGCATCAACCGTGGATTCCACTGAAGATTTACCTGCGACAGCCTTGACAGCTGTGTCGTTCGAAACCGGCAGCGGGGAGGGAGTCCCAAATGCGTTCTAGCCAACCCTCGCAGCTTAATGCAAAGTTTAGCAACGTCAGCAATCACAGGGGCACTCGAGAGCCAGGTTGAAGCCTTGGATGCTCGGAGGCGTCTTGGTCTGGTGAGGGCTCTCGACAGCTATCAGCGATTGAAAAGTCGTTCCGTCCATCATGACGGGATAGCTAGAACTTCATGGCAACGCAGGTCTATGCGAACAGCCTCCCTCCCTCGGGGAAGCACGGGTCTGCTGGTCTTCCACAAAGTGGAGTGCCACCTGAGACCATCTCCAGGGGCCAGGGAACCTCCTGACAAGAGATGCGCCGAACCCCAGCCTCTGGAAAGCCCTTGGACTTCAGATATCCAATCACCTCATGGTTGCAAACGGACTCGGACTCGACACTGTTCTGCCCGTCTGGGTTCGGGACCGCGTTGCCACAAAGCCGGCCATTACTAATCCACAGCTTCACGTCATTGAAGTTGCGCTTGTGAAGCGCGAGCCTCGCAGGTAGGTACGTCCAAAATCCGAGAGGGCTGCATTGCAGCTGCTGCACTCTCTTCACTCGTTTCGACAGGCTTTGCGTGCTAGCCGCTTGAAGAGGTACTCGGAGCAGTTCAGACGCTGCTTGCCGACCTGAAGATTCCGCCAGAGCAAGTTACAAGTGCTGGACCAGTCGTGGTGCCTTCTGCTCCCTGTCAATGTAGTACATCATCTGCTTGTGTACCTTTCGTTGCACGTCATCAGCAGTGCTCTGCGAACCGCTTCGCATCCCTTGTTCATGGGTTTTTTGGCAAGCTCTCTGCCATTGTCCTCTGATCTCCTCTGCAACGCAAGGGCACTCGTGTGATGTAGATAGGGTTCGCCAAGGAATGGATGATCCCACTGTCACCTTTGCGATCCGCAGCAAAGGCTGGAAAAAAGGTGCCCTAGGTTCATGATGTGTTAGCATGCCGTGAAGCAGCCGTTGGGGAGGCAGTACTTCACGTGGCTCAGGGTGGAGTACACGAACCTGGGCAGAGAGGCGTAAAGGGTGACCGAGACACCGCTCCCATCCGAACCTGCTGCACTGCTAAGGCTTGGGCACCCCATTCTCGTCCCAGGCTCCACTCTTCACGCGGATGTTCTCATGAAACGAGTGGTAATACCTCATGGAGAGACAGGGGAAGGCAAGTAGCCGACGAGACAGCGGCGCTACCCAAGGCGGCAGCTCCAGGTTCTTACCCGCCAGCAAGACCTCAGGAGTGGTCCCAGCGCCCACTGGCTTCGGCCCGCTTCCAGCTTCGGGGTCAAGGCGTTGTGCTTGGACATAAACGCCACGTAGACTCCATTCGGCGACCAAACCTCGGTCAAGCGACAGCTTTCATAGGGCTCAGGCTGGACCATCCACAAGTATGTCTCGTGTCTCTGAGACTCCGACTACGTAACGCACGCCTCCTGCCACGCTGACCTCATCGACGGTCTTGCGGGCGGTCAGGTCGTACATCACAATCTGGGCAAGTACAATTCTCCACTTTGAAGCAGCTCCCACCGATAAGGAAATCCCATTGGAGGCTTCCTCTCCCGAGCATCCATGTATCCCGCCCCCAATGCCTTCTCTTCACTCTTGAGCAGGATGCGGTTGTTTCCACCTCCATATGGTCTCCACTGCGCCACTTCCAAGATAATTATCCTTCTCTCTCTGTTTTTCTTGTACTTCCTACAAGAATGCATCTACGTTCTATGCAGGTGAATTCTACAATGAAGGGAGCTGCATACGGCTGGAGAAGGGCTTCTGTAACTGGTGCTTCAAGGTCTGCGCGCATTTCCATGCTGCAGCCATTACGGCTTCAGCCCTGTGAGTAGACCTGCCTTGGCATTTCGGGCCTATTGGCCACCAGGGAAAGTTGGGAATTTGGATCTACCTGAGAATGCACCTGGAAAGATGAAGTCTGCCGAAACTGGCGGATCAAACTTCTTGGACAGCTCGTTCTGGAGGTTGTAAATTCCTTGGGGCTCAGAGCGCCAGCGCCAGAAATCGGAGAAGCTCTCAGCTTCGGGCCACTTAGCCTTGAAGCGACTGGGTCTGCGGCCCACTGAGCCACCCTGCTGGAGGACCGCGAAGCGATTCCGCGCGGTGAAGCACACGGCCTGGCGTGATTTAGCACAGGACCCTTGACATCACGGTGCATATGCATACGCACGAATATGTGTATGACTGCAGTTTGATGCATGTATGTACGCGTGCATCCATGCATTCCTGTGTGGATGCATGTCATTATGTCTGTATGTTCGTATCAGCCGTATGAGTGCACATAACTACATATGCAGGGACTGAAGCCTGTGCAGTGCTGTGCAAGTCTGTCTATCTATAGATCGATCCAGCTAGCTAGCTACGTTGGATGGAGGAGGTTACATAGGTTGCGCAAGACTTCCTCCGTAGCTAGTTAGCTAGCTTTTTGGCTTCTTGGTATATGTGACATACCTGCATACATGTATGCTGACATGCATGCCATGCATGCAAACATGCAAATATGCACGCGTGCAGATCTGCATATATGCACAAATACCATACAACACCATGCAATGCAATACAAGACAAGACAATCGATATCAACACATAAGCTTAACCATACCATACCAAACGAAATAATAAATAGACTACCCTACCAGACCATACCATACCATGCCGTACTGTACGATGCCGCACAGTCCATACATTACAATACAATACAATACAATACAATACAATACAATACAATACAATACAATACAATACAATACAATACAATACAATTCGATACAATGCAATGCAATACAATTCAGTGCAATGCAATGTAAAAATACATACAGACCTACGTGCATACATACATACGTTTGCATACATACGTATTCGAGCGCACACATGTATAAATATATACACTCCCACACTATCCACTAGCTCCATCGCTCACAGCATGTACAAATGCACATGAGTGAGCAAGACAATGCACCAGCAGAAAGTTTCGATGAAAGTGCAATTGCCACATTGCCATGAACGCGCTCTCTGCGTGGCCCTGGTGATGCCAGGTCTGCGAACTCTTTTCTTGTAGCTTGAAGTCGGGCGGCAAACCCAGACCAAGTGGCTTGGTCTTGCAGTGCCAGCTGCACAAGGCACTGCCTCTTTCTGAGGAAGCTTTGTCCATCAACAAACAGTTGGCATGTATTTGCTACAATGTTAATCCTAGTTGCTCTGCCAGCAGGCGCGGGCAACCTTCATGTCATCTAAACACAGACTATCATCACGATAGTCTGCATCATCCCAAGTCTACGCTAGGCAGGGACAAGATCAGGTAGTGGGAGCAAGTCTGGAAAAACGAGCCCAGTTCGCGCTTCTTTGCCTCACCGCGGTACGCGTCCGGAGCAGGGGAAAGCACCAAGCACTGTCTTCAGCTTCTGAAGCACATTTTCCTTGAGGTGAGCACCGTGTATGAGCACATCCGAATAGTACGAGCGATACCTCAGAAGACCAAAAAGCAAAGGTTAAGGCCGTCAGAGGTGCATGTAACCTGCACTGCGACCAGAGCCAAACCCCTTGGGCCGAAGCAGTGATGTGTCAAGAATCTGGTCGCACTTCTGCACGAAATCTGCAAAGGGCTCCGAAATGGGAAGCTTCTTCGAGACGCTGTAGAAGTGAACCTGAGCTCCGAATCTCGACCTAAATGGGCCCTGGGGTTTGGCATGCCGGGCTGACCATGTGAAGAGTGAAGTATGCGAAGGTCTCGTGTGCGAACAGCCCAGCCTTCACCTGCAGAGCCAGTCTGAGATGGACGGAGTTCGCTCCAAAAGAATCTCACACTGCTCTGAAACAGAGCAGCACCATGCCTCCGGACTGGCTTGCAACTTTTCCACTTCCTGTCAAATTCTAAGCTTTGGGCCTGGGCTTAAATAGACTGTATGTGGCTAGGCAAGATGCCTCCCTGAAAGCATGGGCGGGACTGAAGGAGAACAGACTCGTGGGGCTAATGTTAACCCGACCAGCCTGCAACAGCTGCCGGAGCCCTTCGCGACGCCCTTTGCAGAATTGCCACGAAGCTTTTCTTTCTCATCATCCCTACTGGCATCCCACCTGCCCTGAGAAGAAGGTACGCCAGGCGTGCCAAGCTCTGGAGACCCCAGGAACCCAGGGAGTGGCTTCGGACAGCCTGCAGCAAAGCCCGGCGTCGCTGCAGGCGTTCAGTCTGACACAGTTCCTTCAGCCCTTAGTCTTCTTGTTCCTTATCCTCTTATTTTCGCTTTGATCACTCCCTTCCCAGACAATTGCTTACTGTTGGTCCCAGGGTCGTTCATGAAGGAGTCGTCGTCCAAGTCCTTGTGCCAGGTCCTGGGTTGCTCTGCTGGAAACGAGACGCGATGATGAACCATCGACACCGCACGCGATGGTAAGTGGGCTGTGTATGTGTGTATACATATGCATATCTACCTGTACATATATATATATATATATATATGCATATACTTACAGTATGTACATAGATGTACATATCCAAAACACATTTACGATTGTGCTGGTTCGTATACACATACATATACACATATTTTTGCAGTATGTATATACATATGCGTGTATGCATACATACATATATATATATATATGTATATATGTACACATACTTATTTACATCAGTATATATATATATACATATATATACGTATGTGTGTGTAGTATTCTTCGTATGCAAATGCATTAATGCACGCCCTTGTTTGCGAAGCTAACACCGTTCATATCTGCATGGGTCTGTATGTCCATTTACATACATTTAGATATATATATATATACATATATCTACTATTTAAATATGTATATATATGTACTTATGTATCCATTGATTTACTTGTTTGTTTATTGATTTGCTTATTTGTTGGATTACTTATGTGTACATATGCGGTAATATTGATCTGCAGCTGTGTAAGTATGTCTCAGTCGCTTGCTTATGTCTGTTATCGTTACACAGTTTTATGCTTGTTTGCAGTTATTGACCGCGCCGTTGTTTATGTTCGCTTCTGCATGCAAATGTATGTAACGATAAGCATGGCTTGCATGTATGTATGCATGCATGCATGGATGTATGGATGTATGGATGTATGGATGTATGGATGTATGGATGTATGGATGTATGTATGTATGAATGTATGTCTGTATCTGTGCCCATGTATGTAAGGATATATACACATACCTACCTACAACCATACATACATACATACATACATACATACATACATACATGCACACATGGGGAAGTGGATACCATCCGTCACTGCTGAAGCTTTAACTCTGAAGCTCGAATTCGGCGCGTAAATTCGGTTTGTGTCGCTGCATCCGAACTCTGCTGACACTGGAATTCTTTCAGGCCGCCAAACCCTACACCCTTGATGGAGATGTTGGTTGCCAAATCCCCCCCCAAAAAAAACCTTGCCAAAAACTAAACCCTAAACGGACATGTTGGTTGTCAATCTCTAAACCCTGAAAAGGGGACGTTGGCTGCCAAACGCTAGACCCTTTGCCAAGCTTTTAGATCTAAACGGAGATGTTGGCTGCCAATCCCGCTAAACCCGAAACAGGACATGTTGGTTGCCAAAGCCTGCACCTTAGAAGGAGATGGTGGATGCAAAAACCCTAAACCCTAACACGATAGGTTGGTTGCCAAACCCTACGTAAACCCGAAACAATGCTGGTTGCTAAACGAAGATGTTGCCAATCTAAAAACCCGGAACGGAGATGCTGGCCGCCGAGCAGGGCCCACAACGACATGTAAGATGCCAGACCCTGAGTCCTAAAAAGATGCGTTGGCTGCCAAATCCTCCAATATGTAAACCCGAAAAAAAATTGGTTGCCAAGACGACTCGAAAAAAAATCTGGTGCCAAACCCTAAACCCTAAACGAACATGTTGGCGGCCAATGTGGTACCAAACCCTAAACCCTAGGCAAAGCTGACTGCCAAACCCTGATTAAATCCGGAGACAGTTGGCTGCCGAACCCCGAACCCCAAACCGAAATGTTGGTTGCAATCCCGAAACCCTAACAGGAGATGTTGGTTGTCAAAACCTGAACCCAAAGCGGAAATTTTGGTTGCCAAGCCCTAAAACCCTACAAAAGATGTCGGATGCTAAACTTTAAACCCTAAACGAAAATGTTGGTTGCCAATCTCTACACCCTAACGATGGGTGTTAATTGCCAAACCCTGAACCCGATAAGGAGACGCTAGACGCCAAACCCTAGACCTTAACGGGAAATGTTGGTTGCTACCCCATATAAACCCCAAAACTGTTGGTCATTAAAACCTAAACAGTAAACGGGGATGTTGGCAGCCAGTCTGTAAACCCGACAAACAAATTGGTTGCCAAACGCTAAACTCCAAACCCTACACAGAGATGTTGCCTGCCAATCTAATCCATACTATAAAGCCGGCAAAGAGGTGTTGGTTGCCACGCCCTCAACCCTAAAAGGAGATGATGCCTACCAATCTACAAACCCGAAGAAGAAGTGATGGTTGCCACGCCATAAACCCCAAAACGAAACGTTGGCTGCCAAACTACAAACCCGAAAAAGAAGTGTTGGTTGCCACTCCCTAAACCCTAACAGGAGATGTTGGCTGCCAATCTCCAATCCCGAGAAAGAAGCGCTGGTTGTCACACCTGAACTCTAAAAGGAGATGTTGACTGCCAACCCATAAACCCGAAAAACGCCCTAAACCCCCAACGAGATGCTGGCTGCCAAACCATAAACCCGAAAAGGGAGTGCTGGTAGCCACGCCTTCAACCTTGACAAGAGATGTTGGCTGCATCCAATAAGGACCTGTTGGTTGCCACGTCCTAAACCCTAAAGGCGATCTTGGCTGCCAATGTAAAAACCCGAAACGGTAGCGTTGGTTGCCACGCCCTAAACCCTAGAAGATCTTGGCTGCCAATCTCTCAACCCGAAAAAAAAGTGTCGGTTGCCACGCCCGGAGATGTTGGCTGCCAATCTAGAAACCCGAAAACGGGGGGGGTGGTTGACACGCCCTAAACCCCCAAAGGAAATTTTGGCTGCCAATCTATACACCCGAAAAGGGGGTTGGTTGCCTCGCCCTAAACCTGGTTGGCTGCCAATCTAGAAACCCGAAAACGGGGGGTTGGCTGCCACGCCCTGAACCCCAAAACGATATGCTGGCTGCCAATCTGTTATCCCGAAGAGGAGTTGTTGGTTGCCACGCCCTAAACACCAAAAAGAGATGTTGACTGCCCATCTAATCTATAATCCAAGAAGGACGTGTTGGTTGCTGTAAACCCGAACAAGAGGTGTTGGTTGCCACGCCGTCAACCCTGAACGGAGATGTTGGCTGCCAACCTAATCTATAAATCCAAGAAGGACGGTTGGTTGCTGTAAACCCGAAAAAAAGGTGGTGGTTGCCACGCCCTAAACCCTACAAGGTGATCTTGGCTGCCAAACTCTAAACCCGAAAAAAAAGTGTTGGTTGCCACGCCTGAACTGTGAAAGGAAATGTTGGCTGCCAATCTATAAACCCGAAAATGGGTAAACCCAAGAGGAGATGTTGGTTGCCATCTATTAAATAACCCGAAAAGGGGGGGTTGGTTGCCACGCCCCAAACCCTCTTGGCTGTCAGCCTATAAATCCGAAAATGGGGGGTTGGCTGCCACGCCCTCAACCCTAAAAAGAGATCTTGGCTGCCAACCCATAAACCCGAAACAAGAAAAGGTTGGTTGCCACGCCCTAAACTGCCCTAAACCCCAACACGAGATGCTGGCTGCCAAACCATAAACCCGAAAAGGAAGTGTTGGTAGCCACGCGTTAAACCCTGAGAAGACGTGTTGGCTGCCAACCTACCAATCCAACAAGGACTTGTTGATTGCCGCGCCCTAAGCCCGAAAAGGAGATGTTGGCTGGCAATCTCCAAACCCGACACGTAGGTGTTGGTTGCCACGCCTGCAATCCTGAAAGGAAATGATGGCTGCCAATCTATAAACCCGAGAAGGAAGTGTTGGTTGCCACGTCTGAACGTTGAAACGCAATGTTGGCTGCCAATCTATAAACCCGAACAGGCGGGGTGGATGACACGCCCCAAACCCTAAAAGGAGATCTTGGCTGCCAATCTATAAATGCGAAAAGGCGGTGTTGGTTGCCACGCGTAAACCCTGAAAGGAAATCTTGGCTGCCAATCTACGAACCCGAAAAGAAGCGTTGGTTGCCACGCCTGAACTCTAAAAGGAGATGCTGGCTGCCAAACTATAAACCCGAAAAAGAGGTGGTGGTTGCCAAGCCCTAAACAATGGGAAGAGATGTTGGCTGCCAATCTCCAAACCCGAAAAAGAAGTGTTGGTTGTCACACCTGAACTCTAAAAGGAGATGTTGGCTGCCCATCCATAAACCCGAAAAAAGGGGTTGGCTGCCACGCCCTAAACCCCAAAACGAGATGTTGGCTGCCAAACCATAAACCCGAAAAAGAAGTGTTGGTGGCCACGCCTTCAACCCTGAAAAGAAATGATGGCTGCCAATCTATAAATCCAAAAAGAACCCTAAAAGGAGATCTTGGCTGCCAGTCTACGAACCCGAAAAGAAGTGTTGGTTGCCACGCCTGAACTCTAAAAGGAGATGCTGGCTGCCAAACTATAAACCTGAAAAGGAAGTGGTGGCTGCCACGCCCTAAACCCTAAAAGGAGATGTTGGCTGCCAGTCCATAGACCCGAAAAACGGGGGTTGGCTGCCACGCCCTAAACCCCCAAAACAAAAATTTCACCAATCCATAAACCCGAAAAAAGGGGGTTGGTTGCCACGCCGTAAACCCCAAAGCGAGAGGTTGGCTGCCAAACCAAAAACCCAAAAAAGAAGTGCTGGTGGCCACGCCTTAAAACTTGAAAAGAGATCTTGGCTGCCAATCTCCGAACCCGAAAAGGAGGTGTTGGTTGCCACGCTTTCAACCCTGAAAGGATATGATGGCTGCCAATCTATAAACCCCAAAAAAAAGGCGATGTGAACCATGGAACGAGATCAAACCCTGCCTCGAGGCAGGCATGTCATTTGCATACATCAGTATGTGTGGGGTCTACCCGGTTCCGTACAGACCCCTATAGGAGGCATCTGGGAAAGAAGGAGACCCCAGTTTAGGCGGCTTTGGCGATAGGAGGAGCGGCTTTGCTGCAGAAAAAACTTCAAAACATGAGGCGACAGGTGCAGAGGGGTCTCTGGGATCGGAGGGATCTACACGAACAAGGAAAGGGCCCGAGTGGAAGGGCAACAGCTCAAGAAAAAGCATGCAATCCAAGGAGACAGAGGTAGACAAACAAACAGCACAAAGCTATGAAGCTTGACATCCAGAGCCAGAAGCGATAGCCGCTAAACCACCAGGAACCAAGAACCAAGAATCGAGAAACCCCGGCATCTTGGTTCTTGGTTCCGGGGAAAAAGGGGCCCGGTTGCATTGAACTCTGCATTGAGTACTTAAGCTTTAATGCACCGAGAACCTGGTAAGCAGGAAGACAGTGGCGTGCTGTCACTGGTTTCATCCAGACGAGTTGGAAGGGGGATATATTGGACATGACTTGGTGGTATCATTTCCATGACTGTTGCATGTTGTTGGGGAACATAGACAAATAACTCTTTGGGGAGGCTACTGAAAATCTCTATGTACATATTATGTGTGGGTATATATATATATAAAGATAAAGATACTTGCACACTGACACCATGCATGGATACATACTTCGCCTTAAGTAGTCTAGGACTGGTTCCTCGAAGACCAAGTCAGCTAGGGCTCTGGTCGGGGACCTTCACCACGGAGGGCAAAGGCTCTCGGTCTGGGGGGACGAAAGCCTTTTGACCGTTTTGCAGAACCTTGGCTCTCGGCTCAAGAACCATCAAGCACCAACATCTGCAGGACGTATTATAACGGAGGACGTAACTGCTTGGCCAGCGGCCTCTTCAGAGTAGTACTTGAAGATGCAATCCTGCAGCAAGAGTCAGCAATGCTTGATGAGGATTGGCAGGCAGCTTGCATGCTCTCGCGCAAGCCTCATCACAAAGATCGGGGCAACGTTCTTCCAACTTGGAGAAACTGCCGTTCTTCAACTCTGGACACTGCGTCAAAGCCAGGTGGGCCAGCTGCAGTGCAACCTTGAGCGAGTGGTGTCAGAATGTGACGGGGTCAAGGGTGCCGTCTGCCGAAATCTTGATCCCAAGTGAGACATCGACATACTGACGTGTCTCATGGAAAGGGCCCAGAGCAGATTCCCCGGCGGGTGTTGTCCAACCCTGACAGGAGCAGCGGGCCGCAGATGGTGAGATGCTGGCTGCTGGAAATACCGCCACGAGATGCCTCTGCCAGCTTCTGCAGAGCCGTGTCGAGCCGCTTGATGGCCGACTGGGCACAGCATGCACAGCAGAGAGCAGTGGGCGAGCTGCAAACAAGTCCGGATGACTAGCCCCCAGTTGCCTTGCGATCCTGCTGGCAGAGCAAGGTAAATGCCAACCGGACCAACGATCGAAACCTCAGAGGCCACACCACTCGAGAACGTTTCAGGACATGCTAGCAGCTGGCATGTGGTATATTCGATGAGCTTTCCTTCAGCAGAGAACCCCATCCTGAGCCAGTAAACTCCTCTAACCCCGGGCCTTTAAGGCAGGACGCTTCATGCTTGAACGGAGCGTCCTCGCCCACCGAAAACTCAAAGGCTCAGGCTAAGAATCCATCCCAAAAACGTTCATCGGCCCGGAAGGTTTCGGTGGACAGGCATGAGGATGTGACCAACACATCTCGAGCACAAGCACTCCAGCCTCCATCGGCTCAAACGCGTAGTCACTCATAGTACCGACACGAAACTGGACTGAGCTTAAACTTCATGATTGTCACCGCAGCACAGAACGCAGCGACAAGAATGACATGATGATGTCGTGGTGGCTGATACTGCACAAGCTCTGGATGGGGGGAAGCCTTATGCATCTTGTCTCCGCTGAGTTTCTTCACGAGGGGCCTTTAGATTCCTTCTGAAGAACTCGGTACTGAGCTGATGACGAGCTGAGCTCATCTGCTTCGATCGTGAGGTCTTCGACTCGGGCAAGGAAGGCCGCATCTGCCTCACGTGGTGAATCCACCGGCAAACCATCCCAGGTCTGAATCTCGATCCGTCTGTTCCACCTCCCGGCCGTCGCTGCGGAGCCGGTCCGGTGGTTGTGCCACGAGGGCCCAGGTGGGGTCTGTGTCGACACGCGCCTCGCAGACAGACGTGAAGTTAAACGCGGAGCCCTTGAATGGCCGAGTCTTTGTTGAGACTGACATCCACTACCCCCAGAGATGAACCAGAGATGAAACCTCTTCAATTCGATGAGTATAGTAGTACGTCTCTCTCCAAGGCGTTTCATCTGCGTCTACCTGCACATCTAGGCTGGATTTGTCGAGACAAGCGACGCTGTATGCCGCAGCGACCAATGCTTCCTGCAGAGGGGGCAAGAGTTCGAAGAGACTGTGCTCTGCTTGCAGAAGCGCATGGAACGTGCTGAACGAGACAGCAAGCATGAATTGCCAAGCGAAGCGCCTGGGCATCTGCGTCTTCAGGGAAGAGGTCTGGATGCTTTGCCAGAAAACCGAGAGACGTCTCGGCAGATTCCAGGGGTGTCTCGAACCTGCCCACGGGAAACCAGACAGTGCGCAAAGTCCCCCAGAACTTCGGAAACTCTCCCCGAGGCCCGGCCCCCCAACAGTTGGATCCATGGAAAACGGCCAAGCGGCACTCGAGAGGCCCAGAAATGCATCCGCGTAACCTGGGGTATTGGCACAAACTGTTGAAATATGAAAGACCCTTGGCACAAACATGTGGAAATCGGAGGTGAATTCCAGCTGACGCTTGAAGTGCTGCTCCAGCCCAAACGAACACTGAAGGCGAGCCGCGTGCTTGACATAGCCTGAGAAATTGCACAAGAGGCATTTTGGAAGGCTATTCTCCGTCAGTATTAACTGCACGAGACCCAAAACATCGCTTCCGGAGATACTAAGCTCCCTACACCCATGACTTTCTGCTCTGGCAAGGCGCCTGCCAGCTTGGCCGCCTGGAGGGTCATCTGCGCAGTGCCACCGCGACGGCGCTGCAGGAAGGCCAAGCGCATCATCTCCTGTCCGATTCCACACGTGCAGTAGCCTTACATCAACGGACACATCAACTTTGTCGGATGTTGGCCCTTGAGTATGCAAAGGGTCAGGCGCTGCTCGGCACAGGCTCGTGGCCAGCGAGTCCTTTGGACCGAAGCTTGGCAGTTCTCCAGCTTCGAAAGCCTGCCACAGTCAGCGCGATGGGATGCTGCAACCAAAAGCTAATGAAGATAGGTGATGCTTCTTCTTCTTCACATCCAGGCGACAAAAGCGGCCCAAACCGAATATGGTGACCTAGCTCAAGCCGTAAGTCATCACTTCACGGCCGCGACACGCCAGCACCCGCGTTGTCGCATCGCGCATGATGACGCTGCTACTACTCATCGGAACTGAGGGTACCTCCAAGAAGACCTCGTCGCTCTTGGGGACTTCACCTTGCAAGACGGACCGCAGTCGAGATTCTGAGAGCCGCAAGGCTTTCTGCAGGCCAAGCACTGGTCTGATCTCATGCCTAAAGCCTCGTCTGCAAGTTGCAACCCACTGCATTTCTTGCCTCCTGCTGGGCTGGGCTCTGCAGGCCTGGGCAGTTACGACGCGGTCACGAAGCATTGCAAATGCACACGAGGCCCCTCATTGGATTAGCTTGGCACACTGCATGCCTCCTCTTTGATTATGCAAGTGCTTCATCCGTCACACGGATTCTTGCTTGGCTGGGCAAATGGGCACAGTACGAAGGCATGCAATGCGACCGTTGCACAGCCAGGACACGGAGCAATTGCTGGCGTAGTCGATTCCGGCTTGGATGTCTCTGGAGTCGAAGCCTAGACGCTGCCACATTCGTTGATGCCAGAGCTTTCCCCCGAAGAAGACTGAAGCCACAAACATGAGAGCACAAACCAAGAACCCCACCAGAGTAAGCCCAACTGGGATCTCGCCGGCAATGGCAGCGCCGAGGAAGTCGAGACCCTCCTTGATGCCTTCCTCGGCGAATTGAGGCCCTGATCGTTGACTTCTATTCAGGTAATTCCGGCTCCTCGTTGCTTGGATTTGCTGCCCGCAAGGCCACAGGGACAAAGACTCGGCTCCATATCCAGACCCCAGCCCCGAACTCTCAACCACTGTTCGCCGTGGCACTCTTGCTTGCACCTATACCACTCAATCCAATCACAACTCCAGGCCTAGGTTTATAGACTGCCACAGGGATCGGATCTCTTCTTTGCACAAAAGTGGCATTGTTCAGCACGATGCACGGCTGGACATGAATAGGACGGCATCTTGCATGCTGCTCCAGCTTCAGCCTGCGAGTCCGGTCTCGACTCTTGGGTGCACTGGAACCCGTGCAGTATTGAAGACGTGGCAGTTCTGAGCCAGACGGGCAACAATGCCCCTGTCCTAGCATTTCCAAGGAAACAAGACTGGACCACTAGCTACCAGAGTCTGTCGAGCACGAGCTCTGAACCAACGGACGGTGATTCCCGGATGGTAACCATCTGCAGAACTGCTCTGTTCCGGCCTTTCGCAAACCTCATGGGGCTGGACCTTCAAAGGTAGATCCATCCTGTACCGGGACCATCTTGAGGCAACTCTGCAGTGCCCTACACATTCACAACCACGGGCAATTGAGGAGTAGAATGTAAACGCTGCTTCCAGGGGGCTTGTTCAGCCAAATGAGCAGCGGCGCACGGGGGTTGTGATCCTCCAGGTTCTGCAGGACAAGCCCGAAGAAGTCCTGCCACCATCTTCGGTCGGGCTTACAGAAATCTGCGCAGCTCCCAAGCAGGAGCCACGGCCTCAGCATCCCACCAGGCGTCGTCGTGCGCATCAATCTTAGTCTTGCGCGACTTAGGAGAGGGCACGAAGTCGGCAAGCTCTCTTTGGCAAGGACTGAGACCACCGAGAGGCCGTGAAAGCCACGGCATGGCAATTCGGGATATAGTGCCTCACCTTGAGATCTTGAGGGGGGAGACCCTTTGACAGCACTGTTCGGGCAGCAAACTAGCAAAACCAACGGCACATCAAGATCCCCATCTACACCCAAAGCGCGTTCAAGATAACTGGAAGCTGAGTAAAATGTTACAAGCACAACTGCACGTAGTCTGTGCTAAGTTGCGAGAGGCCGCGCCTTGCTTCGAAGACCAAGGTCCCAAATCTCGGGTCAAACACACTTCCAATCAAAGCTCCAGGCTGTTCTGTGCTCTCGCATTCATCTTCACACAGAACTAACGAAAATCGCATCTAGGGAGAGAACGTCAAAGATCTGGAGATTGTACTCGACAGACTCCTGAGAACATGCAGACATGACGCCGATCAGCAGGCGCGCGCACACACACACACACGCACGAAGCACACGAGGAGCAAGCCACATGCTTTGCAATTTATCTACCAAATTCATCCCCAGCGTCGACATTGAAGCCAATGGTAGGCATCGGAGTGATTTCTTCCTTAAAAGAGCACGAAGCAGCTGCAGCAAGAGCACCCGTCAACGGATTCTGCCGGAACACGTTTGGCAGCTTCAGCTTGTAGAGCAGAGTGGTCTTGCCGGCTGCATTGGGGCCTGCAGACGCGGACATTTCCCATGCAGAAGGTGGTTACTCTAGGGTTCCAGACCAAGGGCAATCGGCTATCGTCATGTCGGCATCCGAGAAACACCAAAGACATCCGAACCGAAAATAGCCATCCTTCCAGATGTTCACCAACGACCAAGGCTTCGGCCACAGAGCACAATGTTCCGGTGCTTCTTCCTATGCGAAGGAGGAATGAGCAGAAAGACTAAACAGGCAGTCCAGAAAGCATGGATTTGCTCCGATGCCAAAATGATGCTTCCACCGACGAGGCCCTTGCGGAAAGACAAAGTCTTTCAGCTTCGTGGCGGTGTGACCCATGGCCAGTCTGAAAAGCACTGTGTTTGATGATTTGGTGCAGGCTTCGAGTGTTCGAAAATGCTGACCCTGTCCCGGGTAAACCTCTTGCGCACTCGAGCCAAAGCGGATTGAGGAGCATAACAATGCTGAAACGCTGTCACACTACGGGCACGTTCATAAATATGCAGATACATGGATATGCCTCCGATCCCATCAGCGACCAGTGCTGGCAGCAACTGTTGTAGGCAGCTGCCTGTGCATTGCCCTGCTTCGGGGAGATGTTCGTGTCGGCGGTGATGTTGCTAGCTCCTCGCAACGAAGCTGAAAATGCTACTCGACACGGCGGCTTCAGAGAGGCACCAAAAGGTGGCTGAGAGTCTGGCCCACGAAAAGGTCATAGCAACCACCATCCTGCCAATGACGTCTAGACGTCCCGTCCCACTCAGTCTCGTTCCGCTCAGTCTCGTCTCAATCTGCTGAATGTCTTTACTCAGTAGTCGTGAACGCGATCCAAGATGTGTGACATGCGTGAGGCGCAGCCCTTCGTGCACCTGCGTGTAAAAGACTAAGATGTTGGTCTCAGTCGGGTTGTAGGTATTGAACCTGGCAGTTCGTGGTCCGCGGACCGCTTGTGGTCGATCCAAAGCAGTCGGAACGAATCAGAAAAGGCATAGAGGAGCCGACTGCAGTGACTTCAAGCCAGAGGTCATCGCGTTGGCAGCTCTTCGACAGGACCTCGTCAGGGAATCTGCATGTTCCCTGTAACAAGCTAAACCTCTGAGTCGTATGGATCTTCTTCTGAAACAGAAGCTGACGGATGCCTGCAGAAAGAAACACTGAAGAAAGAAACACATCCCTTCCGACATCTTCCGCTTTTCTGCCTGAGAGCGACCACGAGGCTCCGGCCCAAGCTGCACACCTTTGAGGCCCTTGTCCAAGTCTACCACCTGAACCTCTCGGTCCTGACGGAAGCTGGGCCCATCTAAGACATACCCATGGAATCCTAGGTCGGGGTGAGAGACGCCATCCTGCACGACGAAGAGGCTGTGCCCGTGGCACTGCGCCAGGGGTCGCTCGCAGTCCAGCTTGAAGACGACCATCCTCGAAGAGCGGGGGGGGGCCAGGTCTTCACATCGCATGTTCATGGAAAGCACCGAGGAAGGAGCCCTGCATCATGCCCCACGGCAATCAAATTCGAAGACCTGCCGGGTCTGGCTTCAAAGAGCAACTTACCTCCCAGAGAAGCTGCAGTGATGTCAGTTGGCGCTGCAGATGTCGTGGAAAGGAGGCCGTGGGCTTGCCTCTTGTAACTGTTCTTAGGTGGCTAGGATCATGCTCCCCTTGCACCTACATCCTGGTTCTAAACCCGACAACATCATGCTGGCGAAGGCAGCTCGCCGAAGCAAAGCTCCTGGCCTATGAGCAGTGATGATCCAGAAGCGATCGTTCTCGCCTGAGCATCGGCAGCCGGAATTATAACCCATAATTCATACTGCAAGCTTGTCCAACACTTCCTGGGTGAGAAACGTCTGAAGGTGTGGATGCCGGTCCGCTTCGTCACGTCCCAGACTCGAATCGTCCTGTCCTGGCCGAACATTATGCTAGTCTGTGCGGTTCTGATGCTCGGACAACTCACGGCTGCATGTACATCAAGCAAGGAAAATCACTGCACTGAAAAGAAGCCAGCGGCAGCCTGAAGCCCAAGAGCAGGGGTGCCTCGGAGTTGGACAAGATCAGCTCCTTTTTGGGATGGAACCTGCCGGGGCTCCATGTTCAAAAGCTTGCAGTCTAGCCGACCGGCCTCGTTTGCATCAGAGTTGCCAACAGTGCTTCACCCGACTGAGGCGAAGACATCACGCACGAGACATTGTTGAAGTGCCCTCGCAGCGTGTCCACCTTTCGAGGACGCATACGATCCCATACCTGGATGTGTGGATAGCTACTGTGGCGAATCCAGGTGGTGATGCGTGGGTCGACGAGGGAACCATTACAAAAGCCCTGCCAAAGATCCTTGATCCTCGCCGGCCTCCCAAGCTTTCGTGTCGTTCATCCTGGCGGCACCACAAATCAACCCGTGACGACCACCACAATTATCTCCACCACGAGTCGACAAAGACGACGACAACCGCGAAAGCTAATGCTACCAACGCTTGCACTGAAACCACTGCTACTGCAACTGCTGCTGGTGCTGCTGTTGCTTGTACGACGACGACAGCTACTTCTACCGCTACCACTACAACCACCACCACCACCACCACCACCACCACCACCACCACCACCACTGCTGCGACTACTACCAGTACCACCACCAGCACCACCTCCACCACTACTCCTACCAGGCTGGTAGTCATACTAGTACCAATACTAGTAAGTACGAGTACACGTACTCGTACTAGTATTCGTACCAGTACTAATACCAGCACCTAGGACTGGCACTAGTACTATTAATGCTGGCACTGGCAGCCGCACTCGTACACGTACTTGCTAGTACCACCACTACTACTACTGCTGCTGCTGCTACTACGACGACGACTCCTACTCCTACTCCTACTCCTACTCCTACTCCTACTGATACTACTACTACTACTACTACTACTACTACTACTACTACTACTACTACTACTACTACTCCTGCTGCTACTACTACTACTACTACTACTACTACTACTACGCGGCGTCGCGCTTGTACTTGACTGCGCGGCTTTGGGCTTCCGTTTTTGGGACAATCGACACCAAAATAGTGTAAATTACAGTGTATTCGGCTGTTCCTTGAAAATGAGGACGAAAAGAGTAATGTCAAACTCGGGCAAACTACTTCAACTACTTGATGTACACGTCGGCCGTTGATCGGTAAGAGTTTGTGTTCGCGGGCAACTTCTTGTCATCCGCAAGCATATCAGTGTCATGGTCATCATCAGTTGCGTCAGCAGGTTCGGGCCTGGTTTGGAAGACTTTGAGATGAAGTTCTAGGAATGCCGGTTTCGGCTTGAGGGCTGAAGTCAAAACAACCCGAGATGAAGCTGTAGGAATGAAAGAAGGTTTCGGCTTCAGGGGCGACATGAAAAACCATGAGATGAAGCTGTGGGTACGAAGCTTTCGACTTGAGAACTTGGGTACACCAGAACACGGAGATGAGCTCTGGGAATGAAGGCTGGGGCTTGCTTGGGGTTTATGCGGCTTGATGGCAGCAAGCTCGAAAGCAGACCGGGAGACACCTGTTGTTTTGCACGGGCCAGACTTTCCCCACGTGAAGCCCTAAACTAAAGACCACTACGGTGCAGCACGCGCTGCACCCCGCACTAAAGGACGTCGCCTGGGCTTCGTCATGAATGCACACAACCACATATCAGTATCGCAGCAACAACGCAGGCCCCCACCCCCCACCCTCCATCGTGGCAACAATGCAAGTTCTTAGCCCCATCCCCCCTGCGAGAGAAGCAGATCGTCCCGTGATCAACTACGGGCGAGCAGGGTACTCTACTACGACGACGACAACGACTTCTTCTAGCAAAGTATTCATCCCAAAAAACTGTAGAACAGGCAGCGGACCGCCAGCAAGCGGAGCTCCTGCTTGGAGAAAAGACTAGATGAACAAAATATTACGCTTCTCCGTGTCTGCATCAGCTCTTCGTCGCATCCCTCCCTTTTTGACAGGACACGCGAGTACCAACCTAGGGAGACTCACAACGTTGCCCTTGCATGTTACGTTGAGCCTTTCTGTTGGCAGCTCTGCGTGACAGTTAAACTTAAAGACTTTCGAGGGGCAGGCTAAATACTGAAAACGGAATTGGGTTACTGCGTTACGCGGGTGTGTAGAGGCAAGACCCGAGAATCAAGCACAGGCTAGGTACCGCCTCCACAGCTTGATCAGCCTATCGTCTGCACCCGAGACGATGAGGGGAAGCCTGTGGAAGCATGCCGACGAATTCAGATTTCTGCGGGTCGTGCTTCGCAGGAAGGAAATGTGACAAGAGCTCAGGAGTGTCACAAGTTGAACGACTGCTGCAGACTCGAAAACATGGACCGCCGTTTTCTGAGTGCGGAACGTAGGATGGAAGGATGCCCAGTTCACACCCCGGTCGTGGCCCTCGAGAACCTGGCAACATGACACTCAGTACCGTTGTTGCAGCAAGTGCCGCGCTAACAAGGCAACAATGTGTCGGCCACACATACTTGACTACTGCGTCTGACGTGCCGAAGACGTCGTTCGCACCTGCTGCCCCAAGCTGCACAAGAAAATCAAGTTGGCTCACTTCCCACACCTTTCCCAGGAGCTCCCATGCCACCCATGGACGAACCGATGGCCACGGTTTTATCTCGCAGCCCTGAAGTGTCCTCGGCCGCCAAGCACAACCCAAAGCCACCAGGGGTCTTGTGCCTACCTAAGCACTGGGGCAACAAGCATCAAAGCTCCGCACCCAGACCCTCACGGTCTGATCCAAGGAGGCGGAAACTACGAGATCCTGCGAAGGCCGCGTGGAATTTGTGCTCTTAGACATTCCGCAGGCTGGGACCTGAACGCGGCAATCACCCCCTGAGTCGAAAAAGGTTATCGCACTTAGCCACCCGGTGGCTCCTCCTTCGGGTGGAAGTGTGCGCACATCACATAGTGATTGTGGCCGGTCAAGACCTGCATGGCCGCAGGACGCCGTGCGCTCAGGCCCTTGCCTTCTGAACACAAGGTGCTCGAGCCCGGAAGCCTAAATTCCTCTAACTTAGCAGTACCCTAGCACGACTCCAAGGAGTAACAAACCGCACCAAGCTACGATTTGGGTGATTTGAGTGCGGGACTGCGATACAAGATCTCGACCTCGCCACAGGTGAAAGTCGGTGTGTGCTGGTGGGACCGTCGCATGACAAAACAACCAAGCGCTGGACTGCCAATTCCAAATTCGGATGGTCTGGTCGTCTGATGCACCTACAGCTCTGCAAACTACCAGCAGCAAGGTATATGGCCTTCCTCACAATCCGGCTCGGAAATACTTAAGAGATGTGGCCTTTCGAACCGGCTTGGGGATGCTCAAGATATGTGTCCAATCTCACAAACCGTCTTAGGAATGCTCACGATGTGTATCCTTGGTCACGAAACGGATGCGGATACTCAAAACAGGTAGCCTTTCTCACAATTTGGGTTGGTAACACTCAGCATACGTACGGCTGCTCTAGGGAGAATCCCCTAAACTGCTCCGAAGAGGCTGCCAAGGGAGGCT